TCACAGTCCCTGCATTTGCCTTCCAAGACTAAGATGTCCAAGAAACCCTGGCAAACACACACAGTACTGTATTTGCAACAAGCTATCAAGGCATGTTAAGTGTAGTAGCCTCAAAATGCTCTCAGGAGAGCTTTCCTATAGGCCAGTGATGGATCTTTGCTATCACTTTTGAGCTTGCAGATAGGAGACTCAGAATTAAAGTAGATACTCCAGTCAAAGCAAACTTAGGAAATACTGATAAAATTTGCAAGAACAATTCAGTTTCAAATATAAATACATCACCTTTTGGGGCTAGGGTAGTGATTACTTTTAGGAATTTTTGAGAGGTAATCTTCACAGAACTGAGAAGAGCTTCTGCACCGCTGCACACAGAGCACCAAGCCCAGAATGACACAGAGAACCAGAGAAATCACAAGATAAGTCTGCCGATCAGAAACCTGGAAGAATTTCAAATAGTTGTTAAAGACAAAATAATTTAATGATACTATTATTCTTGTTTTAAATACTAAAATCTTTAAAAGAACACAACCCACATACTCAAGTCACTTTCCTTCCATTTTGATAAACACTTGTTTAAATTTGAGGGGTTTTTTTCAGAGTTTTGATGTAGTCTACTAGCTACGCAGCATTCAAGGAATAAAGTCTGAATACCACCAGCTGGTAACACAGGACAGTATTTCACTGACTATGCTACCACCAGAACTTAAAGCAGCAGCCACCCCTTGCAAATGGCATTCAAACCTATCTGAAAGTAATATACTTTGCACAAAAGAAGTGTATTAAGAAAGGAACTTCTGTTTTACAGTTGACATGGATGCAATACTACCTCCATTTTATGTGATGCTTATCAGCCGACATTGCAGCACTTCACAGAATACCATTATATTCACTTGATTAGATGGGTTTAATCTTTCTGAGTACTCTTCTATTTCACAACCTAGCAAAAGGATTTTTTCAAGTATGTTCATTTCTGAAGCTTAACAGATGAAGCTTACTAGAAATATATGGAAGCTGAAACCCAAGGGTATTTTGCAGATAATATTTAAAAAAAAGGAACTGTACAGTTGTTTTCCTAAAAAAGTCTATCTTAATCACACCATAAGATCTTAGTAAGAAGTCATACAAAGACTTTAGAAAAGATAAAGAACACAAATTTCCATTTTATAAGAAGCAAATGTCTCAGACAAATAGACTAGACCTGACTAATAGACAGGTAACTCGAGTTGAGTTCAGGGAAAGGCATGTGTTAAAATTCCAGGATACTCATCTAAAGTACCCTGAGGATCACCACTGTCAAATCCTGGTTAAAACCACAGCACTCATGAACAGGAGCTTAGCCCACTAGGCATCAAAGAAGGAGGCCCACTAAGTGTTAGAAAATAGTTCAGAGAGATGTCCTTTGGCAACAAGCACCATTAAAAAAAAGTATGGCTTGAAATCCCAGGCTGGAGAATGCAAACATTGAGTATGTTCCTAATACTGTTGCCAAGATTCCCCTAATCTCAAAAGATCACAAAAACCAGGAAAGAAGGAAGCTGTAGCCATATGAGCCTCCCATTCAGCAGCTAAGAGTGCAACCCTCCACATGCTCATCTTATGATGACAGCCCAGTTCTAAGTGACCAGTACACACTTCCACACCAAACCTCCTACAGCACAAGCCTGATGATATTTAAGTGAACAACGTGAGTGCTGGACACTGCAGAGCATCCCATTTTACTGAAACTGTGTAATGAAGCCATGCAGTACAACTGGTTATATAATGCAGCAAGTGCCAGAAGCAGTCCTGAAGCATGAACTCTACCATTCCCTCTGACACACATCAACCCCTCTGGATGCGCAACAGTATCAATTCCAGTGCACTACAGGAAGGCTGAGATAGTTATTCTAACTAAGTTTTAGCTTTATAGTTAGTGCAGACTCAAATCATGGGGCTACTAGGGCTGTAGTAGAAAATATCACCAATCTTGCTGTGCCCTAGGCAGCTCAAGCTACACAAGCTTTCCTCCCCGCCCTTAGCCAGCTGCTAAAGTAGGCTGAAATCAACACTACAGACAGCTCAAATGAAAAGCTTCATTTAAAGATTCCAGGCCTCTTCAAATTGAGTTATGTTTATATATATGTTTTCTTTATGTTTCTCAAGCTGAATTATAATTACCTCACGTTTTAATTCTGCCACAGTTGTTGACAGATTAGAAACTAGCTGCGTCATGTTGGTGAGCTGTGCTTGTAACAGCTGGATTGCTTCTGTTTGCCGCTGATCCTGTATTAAAGAAAGAGAGTCACGGCCATGCTATTTAGTTGTCAGGTTCCCATTATGATATATGCTCACATGTACTGAGTTACTGTTCTGATACACACAGGCATTTTGTAGCCACATGACCTATTCAGCATATTTTTCAACACAACTTTCATACAGCATTTGAAACACCAGCATTTTATTTATCAAATAACTTTTTGTAACATATGCCAAGTACATCTCATTACAATGACTTCTGCTACCTTCATGAAAGGCAGATTAAGCAGCCATTTCCATGCAGTGACTATCAGGAAACTGAGTACTGTCACATTACAGAATACACATGCAGATGACCAGGCAGAGCTAAAGCCTAAGGGCTGACACATAGCTTCTGCTCTGGGATCAGGTAGACAGCCATTTAATGACAAGAGCCCAAGCCAGCCAGAAACAAGGCCTTTGTAGTTATTATCTACTTCCTAGGAAGAACCCTAACAGGATTCTTAATCATATGAGAAATTAAGGAAGGTGAGCAGAAATTAAGGAAGGTAACCAAGAGGTGCACCTCTGACTGACCAGCATTTGATACTATTCAAACAAAAAGCAGAAAAATGAAAAAGAATTTCTGCACCTTCTTGTAACTAGTTCTTAAAAATAAACTTTCCTAATGAGGAAAACACTTAAGTACTTCAACAAATCATACCTGCTCTTCTGCTATTCTTGAGGTGTTCTGAAGTTTTATTATTGTTTTATTAAAAGCCTTCTGCATTTCCTCCATTTGCTTTCGGTACCTAAAAGAAAGAGCATAAAGGTCTGAAGCGCTAGTTAATGAAACTCCTCAGCACTAGACTCATCTCCAGAAGAAAATACAACTATGCCAGCAGAAAACTTCTCTTCACCCAAAAAGGTTTTATTTGAACATGAAGTGGTACTTCCTTTTAAGTTTCACATAAAAACAGATGTGTCTCTTTATGGTGTTTTTTTGTTTTGTTTTTGTTTTGGGGGTTTTTTTGTCATTTTCTTCCAAGATTAAAGTTAAATCTTTTTCAACACCTTAGAGCTTAGCACCAATTTACTGGAATTCACTGTGGAGAATTCTCTGCTAACACTGACTGCCAAGACAGATAAAACAACAGCATAAGGAAAAGCCCGCTCCTTGGAGCCAATTCTGAAATGGGTACGTTTCCTGATTCTCCTATGGCTAAGGAGTACCACAGAAACACTAATATACATGCAACTCTCACAAAGTTCTTGGTTCTCTCGCCAAGCTCCCTTCTTCACAAGAGTTATTACAAGTAACACAGTAGTTTAAGTAGAAACTATCAATTCAGTAAAGAAAGCATTGTAGGTCTGTGTCATTCAGTTTAATAGCAGCAGAAGGATATGCCCTTTTGTTGAAAAACTTATGGACAGGATTAGCACTTACATTCTGGCAACACTTTATCCTTTTAAAAAACCTCACAGCACTACTCCTTAAACCAAAATAAATGTGATTGTATCTGAAATACAAAAAGGAAATCCCTGCTACCTGCAGACACCTGGTCTCCAGTAGCTACCTAGGATTAGGTACTATTAACTTTCTCAGTTTTCCATAAAGCTTTATGCCGTGATTTATGTTATACTTTGCTTTGACTGTGCTACTTTTCCTATGTGTATGTTCCTTTATACAGCTGGCTAAAATCATGTTTACATATGGCAGACCAGTCTTCCTCAGACTTACCTCTGACTAAGTTCTTCTAAGTAACGGCTGCTGAGAGACATGTTTACTTCTAGGGCTTTTATGCGATTATTAAGGCGCATGAAGACAGACTCTTTTTGATTAGATCCATGAACAAGATTTCCATTAGCATAGCCTAGATCTGTTGAATTCTGCAATTCAGCATAGAAATCTGTAGCTGTTCTCTGTGGTCCCCCAGAGACTGGAATTGCCATTAGCGCTTCTTCTGTTGCTTGATCATCATCCTTTGTTTCAGCAGATACAGAAGAATCAACAGGAGGCAAAACAGGTTTCTGCACTTCTGAAATGCTTTCCTTTACTTCCCCAGCCTCACTGGCTAGCATGTCCACTGTATATTCAAGCTGCTGAACAGTCTCTGTAGGCTTTGAAATCACTGGAGTAGCCGTAGCATCTCTTGTGCTCATCTCCTGTACCTCAGCAGCCACACTGTTCTCAGAAGCTACAGGGCTTTCTTCTGCAACAGAGCTCTCAGCCTTTTCTGTTTCTGCACTGATCTCGGGTATATCCAGCCAAGGTGTAATCCCTGGCGCTACCTGGCTCGCATCATCTTTTTCAGGCTCCAAAGCCATGTCTGTTGTTGGCAATGGCTTAACTTCAGAAGTAACTTCTAAGAGGAGGGACTGAGAGACAGTTTGAGGATGGCTTGGTTCCAGTTCAATTGAATCTGTGGTCTCATTACCAATCTCCTCAGGGACCACACTGGTGAAGTCAACTGCAACAGTAGCTCCAGATGAACTCTCAACTTTGCTGTCTAATTGCTCAGGCAGAGGCTCATCTACAGATGCACGTATAGGTTCTATCAGAACCATCTTTGGCTGCTGAACATCAGCAGAGTAATCTTGCCCTTGTTTACCTTCAGTTTTACTATGCTGCCGGTGCATGGCTACTGCAACTGAACACCATTTAAACAGGTATTCTGAAAAGGTGGAAATACAACATACTGTTGCCATATCATAGCAGTACTTTTCTGTCTCAAGTTCAAACCATGCCAATGCTTCTTCTTCCTGATCATCACTGGGCAGCAAGGTTACTGTTGACTGGCTTGTATCTTCTTCATACTCTTGTACTAGCTGAACAATAGGACTTTCCTTTGTCAAATCCACGATTAATTGCTCTTTATCTATCTGTGGAATATCTGTAGTAACAAGTCTACAAAGACAGAGTTAAAAACAGGATGTTACTTGAACAGTTCTACATACCTACACTGGAAGACTGCAAAAGCAGGATCTTTCAGAAAATTACCAAAGCTCATTCCTGTTACCAAAGGTCAGTTTGGACACAGTCAGAAATTCTATTAGTATTTTCTCTTGTGTTCTTCAGTTCAAATTTGCAAACAAGATTATTTCAACCCTTGCTTCTGAAAAAGCAAGCTTTATCAGGTATTGCCCTTTCCCTCAGCCCTGAAAAGAGTCACCAGCTCAGATATCACTAACGTCTACACAGCAAGCATCTTACTTTTTTGCTGAAATCTTCAAATGCAAAAGCAAAAATCGCAACCTTTCCACTGACCTTCCTTAGCCTCTCAACAGTCAGAGTGCTATGAGACCATGAAACCACTTAACAGAGCACAAGTTATGTCCTAACATTTAAGAGCTAGAGTCTTAGCTCTACATAGCCTTATCAATTCTAAACAATTGTAATCAACTGAAAAAAAAGCCCACATTTATATACACTTGCTTCTTCCAACTTAATTCCATATCTTTGCCAATATGTTTTCATCAAGCAATAAATTTCCCTGGTTAATACACTACTACACGACAGATTTGACCAAACACTTGTCTTGTTACTTGCTTAAGGCAGCATGCCATATCTGAGCATTCTGCTACCAAAGATTCCAGACTAGTGCACATTAGTCTCTGCTAGGAACACCCTGGGGAAAAAAACCCAAACACCAGTCACTTACTCTGGTGAAGTAACAGGAGTTGGTTCAGGCAGTCTTGGTGCAGCTGTTGAAATTGCAGGGGTAGCAGTGACATTTTCAGACACACTTGTGTTCCCTGCTGCAGGAAGGAAGAAAATGTGAACATGAAAATTCAAGAAACATGTCCATTTTCAATGATGGTTTTGGTTGATTGGTTTTAGGGGGTGGGGGAGGTGGGGTTTTTTTGGTGGGTTTTTTTTTTTTGGTTGGTTGGTTTAGGTTGTTTGGTTTTTTTTAAAGATTACTAACTGCACTACCAAATTAACTGCAGGTGTCATTCTAAGTCATGCGAATTAAAGTCCTACTGACAGCTTATGTATAGGATGTTACAGACAGTCTCAAAATATTTCCAGAAGGAAGCATCAAGTTAGACTTTACAACTCAAGCTAAGTAATGCAGAGGGTAAAGATCTCCAAATATAGTGGAGCAAACATATATATTCTCTTTGCACTGGTTCCTTTCTCAGCTAATTCAGCATCTTTGTTCCACTTTTCAGAATCACTAGGCAAAGAATGCTATGGTACTAATCAGGTATGCCATAAAAGGTGAAAAAAGTCATTTAAATATATATCATCCAACAATTTACAAAAAGATTAAACAAAATAAAGAAAAATTAAACATTCAGAATGCTTTTCACAAACAAACAACAACAAAGAAAAACTAAACAAAAAAACAACCTTCAGCTTCAGATGACTCTTCAGTTTTGGCTCCAAGCATATTAGCAGCAATATTTACCATACTTAGGATAGCATCTGAAAGAGAAAACAACTACTCAAAGAGGACATACTCAAGAGGGCCCAGAGATTAGCACCATTGATCAATCTGCTATTTTTTAACACCTGCCTGAAACAAATCACAGTTTAAGGTCATAAAATTTGCTGGCATTCTATGACACTGGATACACCTATTGCTTTTAAAGGATAAGTTTATAAGCTAGAAAGCTATTTTTGAAATCCCATATCTAACCTTTACCAGCTGCACCTTCTAACACCAGTGAGAGTACTAACTGATCATTAATCCACTAAAACCAAGGAACATTAAGACAAACAGAAGAATATTTACACATGGAATTTTCTGTTAAACTGAGCGTGTGAATCACTGTGGGAGGTCCCAAGCCAGACATTTAGAGCTTGAACGCTCAAACAGAGGAGCTCTGATAAAGCCAGGTTGGATCATTTGACATAACAGCACTAAAAGAAGTGCCTCAATGTCATTTGCTAACTGAGCAAGACAGAATCATGCCTTTGAACACAGGATGTCCACAGCAAGACACAGAAAACTACAGATTTGCTCAAATTAAGCAGGACTCTGTCATTTTGCATCATACCTCTCTCCTTAAATCCAAACCTTATTTTCAGCTCTGATACTGCTGCAAAATAGCAGTGGTAAATATTTTAAAGAATTGAAGCAGAAGAATCTACATTTTGCAATCTGTTACTTGAATGCAATCGAGATCAGTCAAGGCAACTGGAAGAAAACTGTAACAAACATCCATAGGCCTGGCTTAGGTATCTATTTTTTAAGGATCTGTTAAGCATAACGGTTCCGCCCTCCTCCCCCCCCCAAAAAAAAAAAAAAAATTAAAAAAAAAAAATCACAGAAGTAAACACAGAGAGGGTCTGCTCTATATCAGGACATACATTAGATACAGCTAACTCCTTGGTCTTGATATTGAAAGCAAACATCATTGCCAGGCTTATTTAAAAGACGAGGAACGGGGAAAGAGCCAACTTTTGCATATTGTAAATACTGGCTCAAGTTTGCCTATTTCTCCCACAACAAAATATATCTGTACATCACATGTGTAAGTTCATAAAGTGAGAGGCATTTTACTACTAATGACAAATTTCTCAGACTCCAGAAATAACAATAAATTGTCTTAGCAGAAAAATACGAAAGTCATAGTTGTTGCATGACAAAATGTCATTCTACTTTCAATTAGCTCATTTTGCTTCAGCACAGAAATGATTTTTCTAATAAATCATACTCACTTGTAGCAGAACCTAGGAGATTTTTTGAAGACTTTTCTTCCCCTGTATTGTAATCCAATAGATAATCTATGCATAAAGAAGAACACTTATGACTATCAAAATTAAATGTGTTATGGGCAAAGTAAATAAACAGCAAGATTTAACATGGTCATTCAACTATGTCATTTTAGCAGTGTCAAAATAAAACTACAGAAATGAAGTTAAAGGTCAAAGATTACATACTGAAATATCAAGCTTCAAGCAATTAGAAACCCAAACACATACAGGATTCAAGCTTCAATTTTCCCAGATTCATAACACAGATCCAGCAAACTGCTCATTGAGCTCCATATAATGTTTTTCTCCCTTCTCCTCATGAAGGCCGGAGGTAGGCCATTTCATGTATTTTACTTAAACACAAAGTCTGCAAGCCAAAATAAGCACCTTACAATTATGTGCAGCACTGATCATACAAACCATCTCAGGAAATGAGCTGTGGACACTAACAACAAAGCTGTTTCATGTGATCTGCTTTGATTATTTTAGTTATCCATTACTACTCTCAGCACATGAAGATGTTAGTGCCTAGCCTGCCAAGTAAAATAGAGACTTATTAAAGTAACCCTCCAAATAGCTATAAGACATTGTTTAAAACTTAAAAGGACTGTTGAATAAGACCAGAAATACTGAAATGCCATCAACAAGAATAAGAGTAAATTCGGCAGTCAAATCATTTATCATATGGAGGAAACGATGAGCCAAACCACCAGCACAAGAAATGCCTCAATAGCTAAAAACGCAGAAATTATTTCCTTACCATAATCTTCATCAAATAGTTCCTGGCGTTCAGACTGATACTGAGAATCAGCTATTTCTTCATACTCTTCAACCATGCTAGTACCAAATACCCTGTAAAAAAAGATAAAAACCTAGTATTATTCTATTATTCATATACTTGCTTGACACAATTGATAATTAGCTAAGCATTGCGAACATTATGTAATAGGTAGCAAATAAACGAGATAAGCTACACTTGCCTTCAGCTAACCAAGATCAAGCAGCAGATATGCTTATTTTCTCAAACTTGCATGCACAAAATCCACCGCACACTTTCAAGTACTGCACCAAACAAGATCCTGTTTTTAATTTTAGTGATTCCAAAGAGACTTCTCCTTTTTAACGTGAGCTCATACCTGTTTAAGGAGCTCAAGGCATCCTGGTCTTAAACTCTTCATGAGCTCTTACACCTCCTCTTCAGCCTCACCTCTGATCAACTTTAGAAGCATCTAATTTATGACTATCTTCCTTTGCCTACTACATTCTCTTTGACCTGCTCTGCTGAAATAAAATGAAAACAATCCGATTTAAAGCAGTCTTGTCAACTGAAAATATGGTTTGGCTTATAACACTAGAGTTCCCAGGTTCAAATTCTGATGCAGCTTTGACAGGAGAATTGACATTGGTTTTTAGGAGCAGGACAGAGGCTGATTATTCTCTGAACTACACACAATCACTAATCGTGTGTACCTGGGGTGCTATGCAACACAGCAGCTTTCCAAAAGCACTCATCACACCTGCTCTTTTTAGTTCACCATTTGTTCCTTGTTTTGCTTGGTCAGCCTTGAAATGCTCATTTCCTCCTGTACGACTGCTCATGTTCCTGTTTCCTAACAACCCCTCTGCAAATATAAACTCTTCCTTACATACTAGAAAAGTAAAACTAAACATTCAAAGCTGCTTTAAACAGATGTGAAGCACACTACGCAGCAGGCAAGTTAGGCAACTACTTCAGGTCACAGTATTTGCAACTACAACTGAGAACTAGGATTTGTTGCCCAACTATTATTAAAATACACTATTCCTCACAGCAAGGAGGTAGAAAGACAAAGCAAAATTCTTAAAATACTACCTTATAAGGCTTAAAGGACAAAAATGTTCTGATCCAAAGTGCGATATCAACTCCACCTAAAGAATAAGAGATACTTAAAGTAAAACTCCAAGACCCAGAGTTAAGAGTTCATTTAACATATACATCCAATCTTAAAACTGCAAGTTTTGTTTACTCAAGGGATGTGTAGATTGCCCGTAACAGAAAAGATTCTGTAAGATTTGTTCTTGCCATGCATTAAAGTGCTGAGTCACAGTAGAGAACACCACAAGCCCCATGCATTCATCATTCCAAAACAAGAGGCTGCTAACCTTTATGTACTTGATGAACATCTGAAGCAAGAAGGGAAAGGAAAAACAAACAAAAAAAAAAAAAAAAAAAAAAGATGTCAGTACAAAGGCTGAACACATGCCACAGGCAACTAGAGCTTTGTTGGTTTTAATTCAGTACTATAAATGCCTCAGATAACAAGTTATGAAGGATAAAGTTGCAATACTACTTCATCTGCCACAGGTAGCAAGATTTCATTTAGCCTTCATACCTTGCAGATAAAAGGTAACATGCAACAAGTTTTGTTAATGAACTTCAGTTATTCAATAATTTAAGTTACTCAATAAGTTTTTCTAGGCAGCATTATTGCATACAGAATACTGAAGCGTGTTAAATTTAACTGTATTTTTTTCCCCTTAAAGAACACAGATTACAGAAAGCAATTCAAAAGGAAAACACCCTATGTACTGCTGCTGCTTCAAGTTCAATCTAACGTGCTTCAATTTACAGAAACACTGCAGGAAGTATAGAGCGTCTGATGATACACTTGGAAGCTTCAGTCATCTGTGTATTTCTAGTGAGAACTCGACTACCCACTGATGCATGTTTAAACTAAATTAATTTACAAGTGAAGAATGCATTCATTAAATCACTGTATAGACTCCACCAATGAAGACTGTAATAATCTGTGAGATCAAGATAACTACTCCAATAAAGTACTCTTACAAAAAACAAATTTCCATTATTTTTTATGCAAGTTCATTAAGCCACTTACACTTTTTGATATTTTTTAACTCTGTAGTCTGGATAGACCAAGAATTTGCATAATTTGTGTATTGTACTATAAAGAACAATCCTTTGAAAATTTTAAAACACTATATTATTCAAGGCAGAACACTGTATCCACACAGGGATTAAGTGCTGAAGCATCTAGCGTAATTCTGGAACTTTAGTGACAACAAGCAAGATTTCAGCTACTTTTAAGGCATTAATTCAGACAGAAAGCAGAATTAAACGAAATCTTTATCCTGTGACTCATGCAGAATTTCTGAGTAGAGAAGTTAGATAACTGTCATTCATAGGTAATTTCTTCATGAAAGCACCAATCATGATTCAATAGCACAAACCAGTTTTGGGTTGGTTGGGGTTTTTTTTTGGTTTTTTGGGGTTTTTGTTTGTTTTTTGTTTGTTTGGGGGGGGTTTTGTTTGGTTTTTTTGTTGTTGTTTTGTTTTTTTCTTTTTTTGTCTGGAGTTTTCTTTTGCAGGACAATGATTAGAAGATAACACATCACTGGAGATGACCTAACAGGCCCACGTTTTAGTTGTGTTTAAACCTCCACTATATCCAAATATTTTCACAAAAGCTTTTATCCCAGTCTAAGTACCACATTATTTATGGAGGTCCATCCTCTTGGAGATTCCCGAGTAAAGACAGATTGCTGCAAGTTATTTTGAAGGTGGAGCGATCATGGCACGTGCTCCAGCAGCAGTAAGTCTAAATTTGCATGAGTCACAGCTACTTATTCTTTCAGATTCATTTAAAAATCAATGGCAGAATACAGCACAGAAGTATTAAGAAATACACCTATTCTAATCTGATCGAGAGAGAGAGAGAGAGAGAGAGAGAAAGTATGTGCCTATATATATTTTTATATGTATGTGTCTGTGTATACATATATATCTCTATAAAAAGCAGGTACAGCCAGGAGACAAAATAGGACAATACTTCTAATCTTACATTCAGGAGAGAGTTCGTTAAGCCAAATAGAATAGAACATCATCTGTATTTTTCATAATTCAGGTATCAAATAAGTATGCACTCAGGCACAAGGCTTCCCGAGATTGTCTGTTACCACTATGAGTAAGGCAATATACTCATGATTGTGTGAGGAGGATTTACCACATGGCCAATCACACTAGGGTCACTAACAAAACCAGTGCAATTAATGGTAAAGCATACTTAGATATACATTTCTCTGGGATGCTCAGCATGGATGCAGGGATGCCCAGAAAACCCTTCTTGCCCTGAGAAGCATGGATGCTTTTGCAATAGTGAGTTACCTTAACATATTTTGCATACATCTGTTCATCCAGAGGAAAGCTTTGGACATTTCTCTCATCTCTGGCATGGAAAGTACCTAATTTAATCCATTTGTTTGTTGGATACCTACAAAAGAAACAATGGAGTCAGCCAATGAAACCCACTGTTCACAGACATGTACTGAAAGTTTCCAAAACACCTTTTCACAGAATACTTTTTATTTTTCCAAGTTGCAAAATAGCAGCAATGTGGTCTTTATTGAAAGAAAAGTTGCAAGATAAAGCTAGTGCCAACACAAAACCTCAGCAGTACCTCTTCATGTACTTAAAATGGTGTGCAAGCCCTTGAAGGATGAAATCCTATACTCAATCCAATTACTGAAATTCTACCAGGCTACAGTAAAGTTTCTGGAACTGAAAAAAATCACCTCAGATGAACACTGAAGAACATGACACATAAGTAATAGGTTGTAAGTATTACTGTAAGCAAGCAGCAGAAAAATAAAAGCTATGAGCAAAGCTGAGTTAGAACTAGGCAACAAATTATTGAAAATCAGAATCTACACAGTTATAGTAGTGAAGAAGTGAGGGTTTTTTGATGCACTGTGTGAGCATCTCTTTTTTCACACACCAGAATAATCTGCTCACTCCCAGAAAGCACTAAGGGTACAACATTGCCTAAAACACAAAGCTGCCACCCTTTAACCAGCCATTTGGCCAACCAGTAGTACTCTTACCCCTCCCAATTCCAAATACAATAATTTGGGTTGGTTTTTTTTTTTTTTTTTTATTTTGGACAGCAGTCTGCACTGAAGATAGCTTAAGCCGTGTGAAAATAGTCTGGATGACAAGGGAGGAGACAGATCACAACCCCAGTGGCATTTTGTTAAGAAATGTTAATTTTATCATCTGTAAAATTTCTGCTGCTTCATTGTTACTTTTCAAAGATTTTTTCATTTTTAAGGGGATAAAGGAGAAAAAAAGAAAAGCAAAAACACACCACAGCAAGCATGGAAAGAGTTAAAGCCACATATTCTAGAAGCATAGTTTCCCTCTCCATGGAATAAAAAAAAAATGCTAGTAACTGATATTATACACAAAGAAAATCTATGTAATTTCACAATACACAATTCACTTTGCATAATAACAAGCATACACAGACTGTTTTACAAAGCCATCCATTTAATTATTTATCACTGAGAAGGGTGAATTTGGATAACATACCTGTCGCTAATAGACACCAGAAAGTCTTTAGGAGTTGAAGAGAATAATTCATGATTTGCAATGTCAAGCTGCTTTACTTGGACTGGTTCACAGAGCTCAATAACAAACCTTGAAGACAAAAAGGAAATACTGAAAAATGCACTTCTACAATTACAGTCCTCAGTCCTTTACCTGATTACCACATCCTTCACTGGGTATGAAAGAACACCACAAAAATGCTGTATAATATAAGGAGGCATCACTTGCTGCACCCTTCAAAAGCATGATGATATTTACCCGCCTATCTAGCTTAGTAATTCTAGAGAGCACCTGCACCTACAAAAGCTTCATGCGCCTGCACTCAAGGGCAACAAGTCACAGAACTAAAAACTAAGGATAGCAAACATCATTTAAACCACACCTGAAATACCAGTTAGTATATGTTAAATTCTGATCGTGTCTCCTACAGTTATTTGACAGCTGGAGAAAGAAACCAAAATCTTTACTTGAACACTCAGTGCATTCTCTTTTTGTAAGATTATAATTATGCAAAACCTACAAAGTAAATAAAGTTATCCCCTTAATCTTACTTCTCAGTATCGGAGACAGAATTCTATGATGGACATGATAAAGCATGTAGCTCTAAGTCCAAAGTTCTTTACATACAGATTTCAGATAGAGATACATCAAGATCAAGTTAGTCCCACAGTCCCATCATGACGGAAAACTATAATCACTCCCATCATACAAGCAAACCTCAGTAACCTACCAGATTTTAGTACTGCAAGGATTTAGCATATAAAGGTCCATATTTTCCATCAAAATAGCTGAAGTACTCTATAGAAAGAAGAGAATTACTATTTTAAATTGTAGATACTAACACAGCACCAAGAGTTTCTCCCCTCTCTCCAAAAATAAGTTTGATACTATTTATGTAGACTAATACCAAGTTTCACAACATTTTAAGCAAGATAGTATATGAGAGACAATATGCCATACTACTATAGCACAATCATATATTATTTACTATGGCAAGCTGTTTAACACAACTTCGTTCTGTTTCTGTAATGAGTAAACTGTTCCCCCTTCCAAATTCACTTAAAGGCACCAACTTCTCTATAACAATCCCTCTTAAAAAAGGGAGGGATCATACTTTATGATCCATTTTTATAAATAAAAAAAAAAAAAAAAATCACAATAAACCTGAACATAGAAATAAAGATTTCTTCAGAAATCAGTAATCAGTGTTCAGCTTAAGTGTACTTTGTACTACTTCTTGCATAAGAGTAAACTGAAATAATGCACACTATTAATTAATAAATGCTTACCTTTGCCTCTGGATTTGCTGCCAAAATTTTGGCACCACACTCCACAGAGGCATAGTTATTCCTATTTTTCTGGACTTTTTTTGTGGAATGCTGCCCACCAACAGCAGAAGGGTGCATTGACTGACCTAGGAACAAGAAAACATTGCTACTATAACAAACCATGCAAACAAACAGTATTTTCACTTTCAGAGTTTCTGCTCACTGCTTTTATATACTAAATGCCATTAACTATATAGTTCTCGCATTAAAATGAAGTTCCAGGCTGCATTCCAAATCAAATCTGATACAAGGAGGAAGTGGTCTGTATCTAGACCAAACCAATGAATCCTGAACTTACTCTTTTCTTTCTCCACTTCCATGACTTTTTTCTTCCATTCATCAAACGTTGGAATGTCTCCAGGGTCCTTTGGAGTCATCACTGATGTAGGATCTATTTCTCCTGTTTTCTTATAGTCTTTCTGCAAAAGAAAGAGCCACCAATTGTGAATGTTTTTCAGGACCAATGAAAACAAAAGATAAACTTCAACACTTAAAAGAACAATATTCTCATCAACAGCAGATTCATCATTCGAACCCATCTTAAAAACTTAGCGCCAAGGTAAGCTTACTAGCCAGGAAAAGCATGTGATGATCTCCTCCCAAAATTATACTCTTTTACTGAGATGCTGATAATTTTTGTGGCTAAGCTAACATTTTAAGTAAAACAAGCATTCTGTCTCTCTAAATTTCTGCTTTTCTTTGGTATTTTTGCTTCTCCTCCTCCTACAGAGAAAAGGTTTCCCTGTAGCAGAAATCTTCAAATATGAACGTTGGTCATGACAGAAGTCACAGTTCCCCTAGAGTTTTTGAACACCTCAAAAAAAACACAGACATTATTTTATTAATGTCTAGTGATTAAAGAAAATATTTTGGACTTGCCTGCAATGCAGTAACCCTTTTAAATTAACCTTATGCTATACCATTTCACATCTTAACTTCTCCTTTGTATAAACACTTCGCCAGCACACCATCAGATGCGCAAAAAGCTTTTGCTAGACATTTCAAGTGTACAGGTTATTTTGTAGACAACATTTTACACGTAATTTCCAGAATGATGGTTTTGTAGGTTGACATTTTCTCTGCACTTAAAGCAAGAATTATTTCACATATAATTCTATAGCTGAAAACTATCAAAAAAGAGCCAAACTCACATATTGGACAAAAGTGAGTACAGAATTTTTCACATGACTACACTGCAACAGAACTTAAGGTGCAACTTAAACAAAAATATATCCTCACATACATTTAGAAATAACAGGACCTGAAAAAAACCCTGTAACTCCCTCTCTAAGAAAGTTCAAGATGTAAGATTCTCCTTGGACTACGATGAAAATGGTAAGTTAAAAAACAGACTAAGTAAGAAATGCCAAATCAACCTCTTGCTTAACTACGACATCAGGCCAATGCCACAGTTATTTAAATTGCAGTCTTGCAAATTGGGATTTTTTAATAACAGTTTACAATTTGTCTGTAGCTGACTGCATGTAATTATTTTAAGGTACACTGTGCTCTGTTCAATAACCTTGTGAAAAACTTCTTAAAAGAGTTATCAAAGTTATTAGTGGCAGATTAAATGTGATCCTAACATTGCAGAAAAATGGTACTGCTGTGGCCTTGGTCATTCTTTACCTATTTAAAAAAAAAAAAAAAAGTAAGCTTTAAGAAGTGCCTCACTGTAAGAACATAAAAGTGGTCACAGAGTTAAGTGTGAAAGACCTGTCTAGCTATGTATCCTACTTTAACAATGACCAAATAAGATACCTAGGAAAGAATAAAACCACCCTGAACATTTTCTATTCCCTCCAACTATCATCTTTCCCCCTAACCATCTGCTACTCAGGAACTTCCTGACCCGGTCAAGATTCAACCCTCAGACTTCTACAAGCTTACCTGGACCATGAAAACCACATCACGACTCCCTCACCCCCCTTTTCTTTTTTCAAAATCCATGTAAAAAAAAATTCACCATGCACAACATCCTACAGGAAGTCCCAGATTACTGATCTGTTACATGAAGAAGATTCTGCTGGATTTTGCTCCATATGGGAAAATCAAATAAAACTAAGTATTGCATGTGAAGAGGCTCAGCTCAGAAAAACTGTCTGTGCCAATGGATCAACCTTGCTGCCCTTTTCTCCCAGTTTATTATACCCTTGTTGAGATGGCAATACCAGAAAGGCATGCAGGGTTCAAAATGTGAAGCCTGCGCAATCAGGAAAGCGATGGATATCAACTCATCTTCAACAATGGTGATAACCTAACAGAGGGCATGAGGCTCCTGTGTGTAGTGAGCGAATACCAGCATGGCTTACCTCCCTTTTTAAGTTCTCCGAGGCATTCAGAGCAGATTTTTGCTCATCAGCCCCCTTTTCAGCTGCTGAAACTTTCGACTCAAACTCAGATTTTGTCTTCTTTCCCTTGCCGTGTGAAGATGATATGTTATCTATATGTTGACCTGCAAGGCTGAAAGTTTTAGGACTATTAGGACCTATAAAATGATCACATTTTCAACCAAAAGCAATATTAACACAGACACAAGTATGTAGATAAGCAAGCACATGCAAATGTTTGTTGCAACGCTAGGACAGAAAAGAACAATTACCTTTAAATAATTCAGACTCACAACCTACTTCAATACTCACCTCTCTGGTGGACTGACAAAAGAGGAAGGCTCACTCTGAGGGTCAGCCTCAAGTGTCCCACCAATATCACAGTCAGGTTCTGACTGCTCAGCTTCACTAGAGCTGACTACAGGGATATCAGCACGGGAATTTTCTATTGCACTGAAGGGAAAAAAATAACATGCTTTTTACCCTTCTGATAATACAAGTAACCCAGATAATCAACCACATAACTAAACATAAAGTTTTAGAAAAGCAACAGTCTCACACAAATAATTAAGAGGAATGAAGTATGCTTGTACTTGTGGAACTGCATTCTCAGTTGTACCCATGCAAGAATAGAATTTCACTTTCCAGCCTGTTTGTCTCAGCAAAGGAACTCAAAGCTAGCTTCTCATGTCCCAGAACTCTCATTTAACATCTTACCAAACACTACAATGGATAGTTTTTCCCATCATTACTAAGAACAGCTTCATAGTTATTTGACTGCAGCAATTTTCCTTTCCCTTTCAACAAAGGAATCAAACATGAGTCTGAGTTCCACCACTAAAAGCTCCTAATGTTCCCAAGTCATTGGGCAGCACTCAGAAAAGAACTTGGCTAAAACTAGAGGAGAAAAGGGGTTGCATAACAATATATAGTAGAGCCAGACAGACTTCCTTCCCACTAGATTTTTTATTTTTTGCTAGTGTAACAAAAATAAGGTAACCCAGTAGACAATTATTGAAGCTGCATCAACAGCCTGAACTAGCTTATCTGCCTACTGCTTTACTTCCTCTCTCCCAGAAAGCCTGAAGACACCACATCAGACAAATCCTGGGGCAAAAACTGAAAAGAAAGCCTCCCTATAGAATGGGCAGGGAGGAAAAGACAGACAAATAACTTCCAGTTGATAACTTGTATGACTGTCTTCTCCAGTATAGGGATGACTTATACTGATCTAAGTTATAAACTAGTTCTAAACAAAAGCTTTATTCTGCCTCCTAAATTTCAACATAAGCTTTCCTCAATGTCAGCAGCAAACTAGGTTAATCCAATACCATGACAGAGCTGTCAAAACACAAGCAGCACATCAGGAACTTAAAAGGGGATCTTTCTTGTTCTGACTGCTACAATTACCAAGAGAAGCAGCTACAACAAACCCAGGGAGCCAATTTTAGTACCTTTCATATGATAAATTTCCCTTAGTTTAAAAAAAAAAAAAAAACAAAAACAAACCAAACCAAAAAACCAAACAAAAAATCCCCAAACCACAAACCAAAACAACAAAAACAAACACACAAAAACCTCCCAGGTATCCAAGACTTTTTGCTATGTAGCAAAATCTGATACTAGGAACAAGAATTTACTAGTTACAAACCAGGAGTAGTTTCTCTGAATACCCCATAACACACACCCCCCAGATGTGCCCAGTTTAGCTCTGCATGTGACACTTCAGTGACTGAAAGTTGACCACTGCACTTAAAAAGCCCTACATATCCTTGATCTCAGTAGATAGATGACAGTATGAATAATAATTGACTAAATAAAATATAGAACACGTATGAACTTAAAAATACCCTGCTATCAGGTGTACCTGAGTGGCCTCAAGTAACTAGTTTTAGTAGCAGGTGAGTAGTACAAGCCTAAAAGCTGTAGTGCTCCCTCTCCTTTGGATACTTTCACTTGTTAGCAGCTTTGCCTTAAAGTGCCTTATAAAGCTCATTTTGCACAGCAACTGTCTTTAACTGCAGCCATGCAAGCTCAGTTTATTTTTCAAGAAGTTTTCCCAAGATTAGGTCTGGATAGAAAAGCTACAAGCAATACCATCCTTAAAAAAAAAAAAAAAATAAAAAATGGAAAAATCATTACAAGGTATAAATAGTTTGGAATAAAATTACTTCCAGAATATTTTGACTAAGAGGTCCTGCTACAATACAATACTGGTAATACCCAGGGGAGCTGGACTTTGTTACACTGGTAGAAATCAACATCTAAAACAGGAAAAATGCTCTCTAAACATTACAAATGCAATTGAGTCTTTGTAAAGATCTTGTGTAACTATGGAGTTCAACCACAGCTGTTTCAGATATTAATCTGTACAGAAAGAGACCACCTATCACTATTTAAAGCTAAAATGAAGTTTGAAATAACATAAAATGCAGCATCTTTTCTATACTAATATTCTTTCTTCCTGTAAATGGTACTAGTGTCAGAACACTACTGCTGCAAAACAAGTTTCCATTTTCATTTGTTTCATAGTTTGAGTCTTCAGAGTTCAGCACTATTATTCCCCAACTACAACAGCAAGACCATTTTCAACATTTACAAGATGCCAAGCTGAATGTTCAAAAGAAAATAACATCCTGAATCTTGTTCTGAGACCTGACAACAGTGGGACTTATAACACACTACACAAACAAATCAGTACAGTAGTAAACAAGAAAACCCACACTGAAATTATGTTCCAATTTGCTTTTTAAAAAACTGGCAAATCTGGGAAGCTAGATTTTCAAAGACTTGCAATTAAAAGCACTTCTGAAGTACCAGATGTGCTTAAGTGTTAGCCCTAGCAGACTAGTCAAGATGAGTCAGCAGACCAGACTTCCAGACCTTTTCTACAGTAAAGAAACAAAATTTGCTAAAACCAGAAAAGCTGGCCTCTTAAAAAAAAAACAAAACAAACAAAAGAACAAAGAAAACAAACAAACAAAAAAAACAAACAAAAAACCTCCCAACCCTAAACACCAAAAAGAAGTCTACTTCACTTTTAGTGTGCTGAATTTGTATCTATCATAATATTAGATCTTTATCAGCAATCAGAAGAATATATTCCCCTTAACGCGCACTAAAAATCCCAGGAGAATTTTGTGGAAGGACCTCGAAGTGTACACACAGACACTAACTTCCATACTAGAGTTCACATTTGATAGAGCAGCATTTCACAAAACAAACACAATTAAGCACATCAATTTCTGAAGACTGCCTCCAGCACAGGTAGCTCTGCAATACACTACTAAGCACCACAATTACAAACTGTCTTGGTTGCTTTTATACTAAAATTTACTACTTCTTCAAAAGCCTCTTAATATTAGAATTTAAGACTGTGCTGTTGTAAATCATGGAATAAAATCCCTCAAAGTTCTTCATTAACTGAAAGCAGAGGCCATCACTGAAGCAGCTTGGATGGTTGTTATCACAGATGTTAAAGCACATTTGTAAAGGTAAAAATTCCCAATGATAAAGACCTAAGGGCTTTTGTAGTACAGATTATCAAGCACATAAAAGACGGGATTTTTTTCTGTCAAAGCAGCATCTTAGAAACTAATAATGGCAGTAGTACAATACTTCATGCAAGTACACAACTTTTAATCCATGCACCGAGTAAATGATGGTATATTCCATTAGCACTGACACCATAAACCAAAGTACAGCAAAAGAACCATGTGTAGCAGTCCAGTCTTATGCCTACTAAACCTGAAAATGTAACACTTTAACATCAGAGTAAGCGATATTCTCTCAAAGACCAAAATGATAAAATGAAAAAGCTTACTCAGGCTGTGAGACTGGCGGTATCTCTGAGGTAGGTGAACTGGAAGTGTTTTCAGTGCTTGCAACTATGCTAGATGAAGCTTCATTTAAATCTACCAAAGGTGGTGTCTCAACTTCAGGCTGTCTTGCTTCATTCATTTCTGTAGTCTGTGGAAACATAGATGAACACACATTTTTTCAAAACCTGAATAGGAAAAGCATCCATACAAAAATACCTAGTATGGAATTTTAACAGTTCAGTAATTCACATTTCTGTCAGAAATACGTTTTCTTCACAAACTTAGGCTGTATTCAGTGCTACCTTGTGATAGTTGCAACACTCTTCCATAGCCTTCAATAATAGTGTAAAAATATTAATTGGAGGAGGCATATGCAACAGCTTCCTCAACCCTGCATTTCTATAGAGACAGCTACAAAGAAACAAGCTTGAATACTTCAGTAACTGAAATATATGGTTGTATTTGCATGGTTCACTACAATAAAACTCACATTTAGGGTTTTCATCCCAAGATTAATTTCAGGGAAGGCTTTCAATTTTATCACTCCAATGGAGATCCAAAATGATTTAGACGTCTATTCCATGTTGTAACTGAACAAAGAGGTAAATTGCTTATCAATCCCTAGAGTCCAGTAGTCTTGAGTCTTACTTATCCTAGGTCCAGTTATCACAAGCTCTTGCACAGCACAATCAAAATAATTCTTTCTAAATCTGGGAAAGTACACAACCACTGGAACAGGTCAGATTAACTTTTGCAGTAATAGTAAATACTATTACGCAAAACCCTCTTGCCAATAGCTGGATTACTCCAAGTCATCTAACTGAATATGAAGAGGTCTGGAATGTTTTACTACAGAATTACACATTTAAACCATGCAATATATATTCAGAAGTATGTCCTATGCATATTGTCTTGTGATCTCCAAAACAAAAATATACCAAAAAATAATCTTTAACAGTGGGCTTTCTAACATTTAACACCAACCACTGACTTACGGTATCAATAGCACATTCATCTAAAGCACAACCCTTTTTCCATTTTAACAAAGGAAATGAAAATAACAGAAGCCCTTAAGGGTCAAAGCTAAAACGGACTGCTATGATCACCAAGCCTGATCTCTACAGAAGACCTCAGTTTATGTTTTATTTTATGAAGAGATACCCATACCTATACCATCTAATTTTACCTTGCAAAGATTTATTTAGTCAGTATCTACAAATATTAAGTTACGCTTATTATTACTTATGCACATGGGAAATGCAAGATCTGTTAGCTCATACATTTTCTCCTTCACTGGAAACATGACTCCAGCAGCAACCTTGGTGCAAGTGAAATGCGATAGATTGTTACTATGAGCTTGAGATAACCAAAATGAAAGACTGAAATCCAAGAAGCATTTGAAGTGAATGAAATAAAAGCCTTGCCTGGACAGATTTTGAAAGGTCATCAAGCAGCTCTTCTGTAGCGTAACTCCGAACACTTGAGTCTGCATGCTCAGACTCCAGTCTGGGACCAGCCTCTTCCCCCTAGTATATTAAAGGTAAAACAACAGGAAGCATGCAGTAACACAATGCCTCCTAGTAAGATGAGTTACCTTTGGCACAGACTTAATAATGCTACCAAAATACACCAATAAAAACTACAAAATACACTAACAAAACACACCAATAAAAACTACAACCACCGAAATATCCACAAGAAGTTAAGCTACATGAATCTTTAGAGTCACTACCCACAAATGTTTAAAATGTCATTTTATCTCATGTAGTTTTTAAAACAAAGACTACAGCAAGTTAAAACAATTCCATTAAATCCTCACAGGAAAGACCACTTCAGCATTTTCTTAAATTGTTCAGTGCATGCTAAGGAAAATTAATCACTCTGCAGTGACTCCCCATGTCGACAAATCCTCCATATCTCCTTGCAGCCCAAAAAGTGGGGAGAAAGGAATAATCCTACAACGACTTGCAACAGACAACCATCAGTTACAGCAGTCTTGTCAGCAGAACTAGAATAATCTACAAGTCTGCTGTAACGTTCTGAAGCAACTTTCTCTTTTATAAATAAAGATTTACAATCAAGTGTGTTGAATTCACAAAGTACAACAAAAGAATACACAATTGAGAAAAAAAAAAGTTCTAAAGCCACCAGACTGTAGAACTAATTAATTTGCCACTCAAACTTTTTTTTTTTTTAAAAGTTGTGACTACAACACATTTTTGAGCAATACTTTAAGATACAGCAAGAAATCTGGTAGAAATTTACACACCCCTCATTTTCTATGGGCTATCTAAAACCCTTTGGTCAAATACTGGAAGTTCAGAACCAAAACAGACTGATATGCTACACAAGATTACATGATCATTTTAATCTGAGAGACTAACGCATACACTGGAAGAACAGGAACTATAAATTTGAGCTGGCAAATCTTAGTGACAAAAGCTAAGCAACATTTTTCCCAAATATTATCAGCTCATATGCTAGCCCCCAAGATTAAATAGCATCAATGCCTTGAAGAGACAACTGATCTGAGGAAAACTGATCAAGGGCTGCAAGACTGCTCTTTTAGAGCAGGACAACTCCAGCAGTCTAGTTAGGAGTAGTACACACGTGCTTAAAACTTTTCATGCCCCCAAGAGATGTAGGCAAGTTAATAGAATAAATGTGCCAAAAAAGCAGGAAAACATATGCCAGTGGTTCCCCAGTCTCAACGCTTACTTATCTTCCCAGTTTTGTTACATCAGCCATTAAATTTGAGCAGGACATTTTTCAGGCAGACAGAATAGTACTGAATGCTATTTGGCTGAACAAGCTGGCAAAAAAAAAAAAAAAATACAGCCACCCTAGATAGTGAAATGTTTCAGACAGTGAAATACACTATTTAAAGTACTTTTTTTTCTGGTCAGGCAGCTTTCCACCCGAGTCAACTAGAATATTCAACACACTTTTCCAGGTTTGATGTGGTATATAAAAGCCTTCTTGGAATGAGGACCATGATTAGCACTACTACTGACTAATGAAGGAGATGGGAAGATCAATAACATGAATATTAGCCATTCTTATCGTAGGACTGATTCATTACCTGTGTAAGGAAACGAATGAAATTACCATGACTCTCTGATATGACTCAACAACTTGGGACCTCACCATGAAAATGCAATATGCAGAAACTTGTGATGAGTTAAGTCAGGGTGGGACAATAACACTCAATTTAACCTAAAGTGCTGAGTAATACAAATAAGGGACAGAATCTTGCTTTCTAGAATTTCACATGTGTTTTAGCTTTGTGAATTTTTAAATAGGAGGAAAACCAGGTGATAAATACTGACTTAAAACACTTAAATCTTAAATCTTCTATTTAGGATATCATTCGTTTGCGCACTGGGCTTTTAACATAACACAGGTGTAACTGACAGACTGTGGCCTAGACCCACCCAGACCATCACCTCTTATCACTGTCCCTAGAGAGCCACATACACATATCCCTGATAAGTACTTCTAACATCTGGCACCCAAATAAAAACTGAGCCACTATTATTAGCGTTACTATTTGTTCTCACACATACCCCCTCCCCCACCAACAACTGCCCAGCTGTATTGTCACATAACTGCAAAAAAACATGAAGAAAAACAAAAACTTGGGACAATAACAGCATGGTTCACAGAACAATTAAGTATATTAAAGATTCTGGCCAAGAAGACCCTATGAATCAAAGTGTATGAATATTTTTTTAGTATTTAACATCAATTCAGACTGAGCAGCTAATTAACATGTTTCACTCAGCATACCTTTTCCTGGACATTTTCATCATCATTTGCTAGGGCACAAGCATCACCTGAAGTATACTGCACTGCCGATGAAAGACTGTCTTTACAAAAGACATGGCAAACAGGAAGCCTATTTAAAACAAAAAAAAAACACCACGAAGTCAAAGTCTTGATCTAAAATGAATAAACAGTATTTTGAAATTCCCTCAGCATTGTCTCCCTCATTCTGTTTTCAGTTGTTCCCATGAGGTGCCTAAAAAATATGCACATACATTTCACAGATAGTTTATCTAAACTACTGGAGGACTCAACTTTAAGAAATTAGAAACAGAAAACACACTGTAAATTTACTACTTCCAAAAGACAAAAGTATCAGCAAAACAATTATTGGGGTGATACCAGGTCACAAAATGGAAGCTGACACAAATTAGTTAAGTTATTGCAAGTTAGGAGGAATTTGAATCAACCATATCTTTTGCCATGTAGCAGTAGGGTGTCTTTAGCAACGACTATCACTAAGCAAGAACTAAAGCCACAGATTTAAAAAAAAAATAAAAACAAAAAAAATAAAGTCCCTTAATTCCCTGTATAGATGATACCTGAAAAATCTTGTAGGGTCAGCATCGAGCACATTTAATTAGAGAAAGTAAGTATACTAAACAAGAGGCCCATGCAAAACCCAATGAAAATGTAGATAGATACAAATGGCAAACCAGGTGCTTGCTTTGCTACAATCTCCACAGAGATCTCTTTGTACTTTCAGCTCTGAACAGTTTTGCTTCTCAGTAAAAATTGATTTATGCTCATAGATAAGTAGCCAACATCTATACAAACGCACCAGAACATCATCTTTTGTTGCTTAGAGTGCGTGGCCCCTTCACACCCTAGGATAACACCTGTACAGCAAAGCATTGGGTTTGGAGGCCCAAAGGCCAGAAAAGATCTTCATGCAGACTTCAAATAAGTCCTGAAAAATGCTATGCAAATTGAGCTTTAAGTGGAGTTTTCAACAACACTTGAACATCAGAGTCACCTGCCACGTTAAAGCCAAACATTTTCCCAGGAAATACTGTTTACATGACATTCGGGTGATCAGTATGACCCCTGTGTGAATTCCCACAAATGTTCCTCTGTACCCTGAAAAAAGGTCCCCCTCCTCCCAAGCAGAAACAGATACATAAGCGTACAAGAAACATGGATACAGCAACCTTCTGACAAGTTTTGGAAAATTAAAACACAGCCTTAATGGTCATAATAGGAAGAATACTAGGTTGGGATGGGCTTATACAACTAGATCATTCTAGTGTTTAGAATTTGAATGACCACCTGTCTTAAAAACTTGAAGACCACCTTTATTGAGAAGTATATGCAGCATAGATTGCCACAACAGACCACTGGAGTAGTACTAAATTTTAAACAGTTTCATGCATATACACACACACACACACACACACACACAGGGAGCAGTACTTCTCCAGGTTGCAGGCAATCTCCAAATTGGGCATTTGTCGTAGAGAGAGAAACCTATTACTCCTCTTCCACCCACACCAGCAGGAAGTGTTAGCAAGGCACTAGTGACTCTAAGTCCAGGTCTCTTCACCACCGGAAAAGCAGAAGACAGTGGCAGACAAGAAATTCATGAGGTCTGACATCATATTCTGGAGATGGGCAAATAAGGTGTCCCAGGTATGCCTCAGCACCATTACACTTCAGTAATACCTCTTATCTTTGAGGTAACAGCTTTCCTCTAAACTAAATGGAAGCCCGTAAGTCAAGCAGAAGCAGCTGATTACCGTAAACTAAAGAACCAAATATAAGGGTATGAAAACATTTATAACCACCTACTGTAGCAGGTCCAAAGTCTCATGCCTCAGTTAAGTTGAAAATGAGGTGTATGCATTCTCACACATCTTAAATTCCCATCCCATCATGTAGTCAGCTGTCTGCATTAAGTTTTCAATTGAACCTCTGTCTTATACTAAGTATGGTATGTACATTTAAGAGACTGAAGGAGGTTTTTAGTGTCTTACTTCCTAGCTCTCACTTGGAAAAAATCTTTGCAAATACTCTGAGTAACATTTTTCTGAAAAGTGCTTTCAATCACTTCATGGAGAAGTTGTCTTACACTCTTATTTTGTTGTACAGATATAAACCTATTGCTCCTCTTCCACCCACACCAGCAGGGAGTGTTAGCACTGCTCTTAAGTGTATGCTCTTATGCTCAGGACCTCTGGTCTCTCCTTCCAGCGATGACAACTCCCTGGTTCTTTATAAAAATACAGATCAAAAATTATACAGAACATACTGTAGCTCATTCTACCCTTTTATGATACACACAAACATGTTATTTCCTATTTCACTTACACTACGGAGGGATCTTCAGTAAGCTGTAAAGAACAACAGTAAGTCCCTTAAGAAGGAAAGATATAATTGGCTGTGAATCAGCATTTTAAAACAAGATGTATTTTCACAACCCTGTTAATAACTACTTTAGCACTTGCAGTAAGGAAAAGCACTTCTTAGCACAAAAGGCATACATTTCTTGCCTTAATATACTGATATTCTAACACAACTAATCATGCTTTATTAGAGCATGAAAGCAGCTTTTAGAAGAATACAGTTTAATATCTCCTAGATTTAAGCTATTCTAACATAATCCATGTCCAATATGCAATTTGCTTATTTCCAGGAATTCTCCTGTGTATATTCCCCAGCTCAAACATGACACCTTGTCTCCCAAGAGCCCTCTAAGCAAGGGAGGGGAATGAAAATTCATTTCACACATGCGTGCATGCACGCACCCACAGGAAAACCTGAGCCCTACTGCAACAGAGGATGCAGAAGGCAGGATGTATCATTCAACTGCTGCCATCAAGCTCTGACAAAGCATTAAGAATACAAAGCCACAGTAGGCAAGGCCACATGAGACCAGTCATTCTGTGAGAAGTCAAATTAATCACATTATCAAGACACTGCAACTCTCTTTTCTTCTTTCATCATTCTGCGTATTCAACAGGTTGGTGGGTTTGTTTTTTTTTTTAGCCACGGGCTGATTAATTATATAGCCCATCATAAAAGAAAATTGCCAAACAGCACAGCACCTCTGTTAAATATTTCTCTATATGCAGAAAGACAACAAACAAAAACCTAAGTGTTAATTTACAGAGAACAGAATTCCCTTTCAGTTTAGCAAACTTGCACAATACATCAAGGACAGGCTGGATGAGGCTTTGAGCAACCTGGTCTAGAGGAAGGTGTCCCCGCCCATGGCAGGGGGTTTGGAACTAGATGATCTTTAAGGTCCCTTCCAATCTTCCATGATTCTATGTTCAGTGAAAGCACAGCAGCTTCTGTATCTGTAGATATTAACACATCCTTCCCTTTCTCATGACCAAAGAGTAGTATTTTAACGCCAACTTGAAGGCAACCAAGCAGATCTAATGCCTAAATAGTACTGGAGATTAGTCACTAGATATACTGTCTCAAGTACAAGGTAACAATGTAACAGTGTAGAGATACTTCAAGAGAGTGTTCCAAACATGTAACCAACAGTTAGTGAATTACATGGATACAGAAGTTTTCAATAGTCCAGTTTTACTTAAGTATAACTCAAAATAGCAGCTGCTATTAAATCTCATGAAGAACAAAGAAACTTAAGCAGGAGTCTTTTAGTATCACTAGTAATGTTATTTTCTCTTAACACACCATGAACTCTTCAGCTTGATATGCACAAAAGCAAAAGGTACAAGCCCAGACAGAAACACAGGCAGGAATCTTTACTCTTCACAGGGCAGGTACATACTGTGGTTCTCTACTGAAGCAGAAAGTCTGCTCACCCCTATCTGAATGGTGCTGTACACGTATTGCTGCACGAATTGGCTATGGTCTGCTGACAGCTGTTAGGCTTTTGAGAAAGAACGCACTGAAATTCAAAAGTGCAGGCGGTTCTGAAATTGCAGTGTAGGTTTCTTGTGACTGTCCAGTTCTGATTTGGCTCAAACTCTTGAGTAATTGTGAAGGAGGCTGCAGCAGAATATCAGAGATAGTGAAGATAAATGGTTTGACAAGCTTAAAAATCAAGTAGAAAGTAAACAAGTGGTAAGAAAAATATCTATCATACAAGTTACAGCTGACAAAAAAATCAAATTAGAGGTAAGATTTGTTCTACAATTTGACCTTCCCAGAGGAAAACAGCTTAAGCTTTCCTTTCCAAAGACTTCATACACAAACAGGCACACAAAATACTCAGTTCAAACACACCTGTTTGCCAAACAAGACCTGTATCTGGGCACTAAAGAGTGAAACAGTTCAAAACAGTTTACAGTTGACAGCTGTGAGAGAGTAATTTCAAGCAAAAGGAAAGTAAAGAGGAAGCTACCACCAGCATACTGATTACGAAGCTCTTCTTAAATGCACAGGGTACAGGCTCTCTCTGCAGGACGATCACTAACACTTTTTGTACCTCTCAGAGGGTTGTATTACCAACAGGTGCAGATGCACCAGTGGCCAACCGCCAAGAGAGAATGAAGATGTCATCGTCCCTGTCACATGATGCTTATCTAGTGAAAATATTCATAGGATCAGTTCAGAATAGGCCTGTGCAAGAGAAGGAGTGTAGGGTTTGGATTTACGGGGCAGAGGGCCAACAGACCAAGCCTATGAATGGCAGAAAGGCACCTGTTTGTTGGTTGAAGCTTCACAATTATAGCATAAGTTACTTCTGATTAATCATGTAAAAAATGAGAGAAGTTGTGAAAGAACGAGGAAGTCAGAAAAATACCTCCTGCTTTGAACAAGTGCTACAGGTCTGTGACTACTGTCACTAACCAGTCAAAAAGTAAAAAGGCTCTCTATGAACAAGGAGACTCAGTAGACCCACAACCAATCTCTCCAGTCAGCAGTAAACTGCCCTCCAGACCTGCAAATGCAGCAGAAAGGAGGAAACCCTCACCCCTCTCCTCAGCAACTTAATGGAATCAATATTTCTCTCAGAACAGTTCAGCAAGAGGGACTTGCATTTAAGAAGGCCTGCAGAACAAAGTGTATCTCTCGGAAAACAAAGACTGGGCTTTTATGACAGCATCATTATTTCAGTCAAAGAAAAAAAAGCTATTTGCAAGGCACTGACTG